CCCTGTAAAGCTATTTAAGATTTAACTGACTGCATAATATGCGCATTGTAATGCTGCTGGCAAATAAAAATCTAAATAAATACTTAATTGCAAGGACTGATGACTTACACAGATGTATTTCCAATCCTTTCAGTGCACTCCAACAATACCATAACCGTGTACATGGATTTATACATACTATATATAAATATCTGGAAATCTGGGGAATTTGGTAGTAGGGAAAACAAAATGTAAAGAAATCAGAGCTGTATTATAACAAAATATAGAACTGATATGCTTAACTGAAGAACCATGTTTGTTTATTAACACTGATTTACCTTCTTGTTGCATCTCTTCAGACTTCCTTCTCACATGAATAACTCGAGGTCTCACAGTCTCAGCTTGTGCAGCTCCTTGGCTTTCCTCCTATATATCACACATTAAAATCATATTACAAATCTGACTTTGAATGGAAAAGCACAATAAAATTATGTGGAGCTTCAAGAAACAGGCAAAGAGCTTTTTAAAGATTCATTAAAGGATGTGCACTTGTTCTCCTTCCTTTGGAATTCAGATGCAAATGAGCATATTGCAATGCTGTTTCCTCTAGACAAACACCCTGGAGCAGTAGGTATGGCAGAGAGCCATTCAGACCTGAGGACACAGGAGACCCTCAATTTCTACTCAAAGCAGGTGGCGGAAAGAACGTAAGATTCCTCTGGCTTGCTTCAATACCCAGGACTTCTCCCTAGGTATTATCATCCTGAGTCAAATGGGAAAGTTGAAAGGAAAAAAGAAACATAAAAATTTCAGCATATGGGTTGGGAAACCCATGGCAAGTATTAAATTTATTCCCTTGACCATGTTTTTAAAACCATTTTCTACTCTTCTTGAAATTCTCCTCAGGACCTAGGTGTGAAACAGTGCCTACGGGAAAACTGTTTCTTAGAAGCCACAAACGCTCTGGGTGTTAAAATGGGAGACATCGCATTTCTCAAGTACGTTTGTTGTCTTTTGTGTTAACTGGAACAGGAATTGTGGCCCAAGGACGTTTCACTACACGTAGACAGGAGACAGGAGAAGAGCAAAGTCATGGGAGACCTCGAAGACATGAGCATTCTCTAAGACAAATAAATCTGACTTCATCAGTTATTCTGTTGATCCCACAGATGAATGTAAGATTTTTAATGAGGATGCTTAAAGAAGGAGGAACTTGAAAAAGAGCATAAATGTTTGCATAACACACAGCATTTGGAGCCTGTCGACAGAACTGCTCTGTGACTTCTGGGAAAATTATACGTCCCGAGAAGCAATGGCACGGGTATTCTCTTGAAGAACTGACGACATCGTACAAGTGGTATTTTGCTCCCCAAAAGCTAAAAATGAAGAAAAGGAAAGTATGCTTCAGTTCTGTGGGAAAAACCCTCCACTACTGTGGAGGCCACTGGTGAAACAAGCAGCCATAAATACAGATGAAAAGAAGAAAACTTTTATGGCAAGCACACAATAAGCATGGTGCCAACTACGCAATCAGGGCTTCCCATTTCTTTCAGCTAACAACTGTCTGCTATGATAACAGGAATCTCAACCCCAATGATATTGCTTCTCGTGTACTTAATGATCCTTTAAGGCAGCACTGCAAAAATCAGGAGGAACAAAAAGAAAAGCCATTCAGCCACTGTCTCTTCCTCAGTGGCCGCATGGAGTAGTTCACACCCCAGTGAAGCGTAGAGGTCTACATCAGGAGATAGCATGGCATCTCTGCCAAGCACCAGCACAACCGTACCAGCACTGTGGTGAGCGTGAGCTGACAGAAGTGAACATGCACGCGTCTGAGATCAAGCCAGCATCTCCAACAGGCACGGACAGGACAGTTAGGATCGACACTAACCCGGGCACCTCTACACACCACGGTGCCGACCAACTCTGGCCATCATTTAAAGCTGCCAAGTTAAGACTGAGTTGAGATGATTTTCTGAACGTGGGAAGGTCTCATGTGGCCACCAAAGTTACAGAACATTAAATGTAAGCGGCATAACAGTACACTCATGAGTCCTTTTGAAGTACTTCTGTTTTGGTTGGGATTTTTAATAAGGCACACAGAAAAGAGTTTAAACTGAACTGAGGTGCAAATAGAAATTGAGAGATAACACAGATTCGTAACCTACAATTATGCATTCTTGGAAGATTACAAAAAATATGTCCTTTGAAATACTAGAAATGAGAGCTAAGGAGAATACCAAAGTGGCAATCCCACTTAAAAAATGTTGATTGTATAAAAACATTCCTACTTATACAAGAACATTATGATAATATTTTGCAACTAACTGATTTTCTGAGATTTTTACAACGCACTTGGGACATCAGATCCTTTAAACGTACCATCTTTGAAATGTTAAGCCAGGCAAATATGACTTTCAGTGTTCATGTCCCTCCCACGATCAAAATTATTTATATTGAATAAGAAGAGCCCAGCTTCCTCACCATAATCTTTTGCTTCTCAGAGCTAAGAGCACAGGGGCAAAGCGGCCACAAATAAAAGTTAATTGCTGTATTGTTGCACAAGAATGGACTGAAGGGGTCAGACCAAAGATGCATTCAGTCTGGCACTCTCTCTAATGGTGACTAAAAGCATATATAAATCTCACAAAAATCCAATGCCAGAAATGAGTAGATAAGAAAATTCCTGTGTGATTCAAGCCATTTGTTTTGGAGTGAGTAACCACACAGGCTTCACCCTCCATCACTAAGAGGAGGCATTTGTTCCTGCCCTACATGAAAAGACAACGCTCTTGCTGTTGGTCAGAACCTGATCCACACACCCGTGGCAGGGAGCAAACAGATGGTACAGACGTGGCAGCTCCATTCCACTGCCCACAACCTCTCTGAAATGAGAATCCTGTTCAGACAGATTAGAGAAACCACCCAACACGTCCTAACATCCAGGAGGATCGTTCCCAATTAAATCAGAACAGAGCTCTACCAAACCTAAGGCCCAGCTGGATATCATCTAACATTGCGTATTTTCTCCAGAATCTTGGCAAACACCATAAAAAGCCCAGTTTGGCTCCTAAATAGATTAGTCTTCTTGCTTTCTGCATAGCTGATGCAGTTTCATTTCAAGGAAGGCAAAACACTGCCTAGAGATGAAAACCAAGTAGTTAAAGAACTGATGTGAGAGGCACTGACTAACTTGGGAGGAAGTCTTTTAAGAAGTTTTAAGCTATTATCGCCTTGACCATTACACAGAATGAATCATTCTGAAAGCCTGAGTACCTTTTGCTTTCTTTGTTGATGTTATAGTACCAAAGAATCTACTTCCTACAGGCAGGTGACAAAGCAGATCCAGCCATAGATCTGAATATAGATGCCACTCCTAATTTTCAACTAGGGGAAATGTTCATCATTGTTACATGGTAGAGAGATGCTGTCAAAACAAGTCTTCACATCATCTGGTACAGGGAATTTTTCATTTTCAGAGAAGGATGTACGGCTCTAGCAGAGGATCTTATGGAGCATGGCTTTGCCACATCCTGGACAGATGTTTACAGAGGTTATTGCTTATAGGCACGGTCACGTCATAGAAAAGCAAGAAATGAAGCTCGTGAGAAACAGTGATTTAGAGTCTTATGTCAGGAACACCCATATACAGAAGAGATAATTTTGTTTGTGGGGAAAAAACCAAACCAAACCAAACCACACACACAAAGTTTGTGGGTTTGGTTGGTTGGTTTGGAGGGAGGGTGAGTTTTATGTGCCTGCGGGCAAAAAAACACACCCTAAGGGATCAGATGCAAGAAAAGGTTTCTAAAGATAACATAACATATGACTATCTGAATATTTTCTATGAAAGACACCATGTCAGAACACCTTATATTTCTTGCATACGTTATGCACATGAGTAATCTTGCACATGGTACTTTACCATTTGCCTGCACCCAGGCAAACAAAAATCAGTCCTAACCCCATCAGCTCATTCTCCAGAGTATGAGATGCAGGTATCACTGGGTTCTTTAGCGCAGCTAATGGTGCTAAAAGAAGGAAACATGTTTTACCTGCTCTATCCCTTTTACTTTTGGCTGGTAAAATGCTAACAAGGATACGAGCTTTACCCCAGCAGAATCAAGTCTTGCCTGTGAACAATCACTCCAAGAAATACCACGTTCCGATGACCTCAAAGTGAAAGAGGTGTGATATTTAAAATCCTCTTTGGAGATGCAACACGTCACTTCAGATGACACATTTAAGAACTGCTCAGACACCAATGGCCCAACACACATCAAGGCTCATAAACACAAAATCAAAGAAAGGTCAGTATAAGATATGCTAGGTTATTCTTAATCTAGAACATCAGGGAAGGGCAGAATGCATCCATGAACATAGCAACCATGAGAAGTATATTATTACTTTCAAACACACTCTGAAGCTTAACATATGAAAGAGCAATCTGCCACCTCATTTTTAGCTTTCACCACTTGCTATTCGAATTTATCTTTAGTCAGCAAGTAAATAATCATCTCTAGGTTACAGCACATACTGATAAAGCAGCAACAGATTAACTCTATGTGTTTCAAGCAGAGATCAATAGGATTTTCCCTTGACTTCTCAGGTACATCATCCTTAACAGAATCACAGAATGGCTCGGTTGGAAAAGCCCTCTGAGATCATCATGTCCAACCGCTCCTGTCTACCCCCTAAACCATATCGCTAAGTACCTCATCTACCCGCTCTTTAAACACATCCAGGGATGGTGACTCCACCACCTCCCTGGGCAGCCTGTTCCAGCCTCTGACGACCCTCTCCTTAACAGGAGGGATCCTTACCACCGTTCCAACCCTGCCCCTCTGAGGGCAACTGAAGCTCCTGAAATGCTGACTCAGTGGGTTACAACTGGTGAAGCCATACCTCTATTGTTACTTCCTTTCCCATATATCCATCATGTTACCCTTCTGTGTTTGAAGCAATGTGCCTCTAAAACACTGGAATACCCTATCTGAGCTGGGTAAGAATAGTAATTGATTCTGTGAGACCAGGGAAGCCGTGAGGAAGTGCAGAAAAGATAAAAGAGAAGGTCTGAGCCTAACAGAAAGCATATTGTACGGATTCCACCACAGTAAAACCAGTAATTTTTATTACATACATGTACCTTTGACTTCAGTTTCTTAGCTGAATGTGTCACTTTAAATGCACCACTTCCGTGATGTCAGTCACCACAGCGCAACCAGAAAATTTATTTACCTAGGTTTCAGTTTGCACTTTCTGACCAGACACAGAAAAGATCCTTTGAATTTACCTGGGACAGATCCTCAGAGAGAGATGTCACTCTGCAGCTCGGTTGGGCAGCACAATTTGAAACTGGCGGCAATTCCAGTTCAGCCATAAGCACTGGACCGTGACTTGTATCTGCATCTCCAAGAATTTCTGCTGAGGGGGGAAAAATAAAGAGAAAAAAATCCCTTGATGAGCTGGAGAAATAATCTCCTGGTCAACTCACGTGGCCGGATGTGGACTCTTTCAAGATTCAACACGGGGACACGCAACATTAAAGAGAATTAATTCCTCCTTACATGGCTTGTTGTATATCCCTTAAATTGCTCTTGTGGGGAGAAAAAGAAATAAAACATATATGTCGATGGAAATTGAAAAAAATCAATCAGTTTTATCACCTGCAGATTTCTCACATGGCAAGCACTTATGATACCTTCAGAGCTGCACAGTTCATCGCACCATTATACGCTTAATGAGCTTTATCACACGTATTGGAAAGAGATTGCAAAGGCTTCCTCACGAAAATGTTTCACGGTTGTGTGAACAAAAAGAAACCTGTACATAGTCTCTTTTAAAGTGATAATCTGCTATATAATCCAGCATTTATCGTGCTTCTGCAGCCTGCAAGCGTGTAAAGCATCTTTATGAAAAAAGTACTGACAGCTCATGAACTAACTTTAGCCTTCTGCTATCATACAGAGCCAAAGAATGAATTTTAAGCCTAATTAACTATAATTATTGCTTAATTAAGAGTAATTATTGTTCACTTTAAGACTACATGTGCCACATTTCATTTGCATGTTGGTTTTTATATTCATTACTTTAAGCACTGAAAATAAGGATTTATAAATGAAAAACTGATCAAGGTGCTTTTATGTACCAACATAAGCAATGCCTTCTCCATCCTACAAACAGACATCATGTTTCCATAATACAAGTGAAAACAGGTCAGAAAATGAAAGACACCCATAATACCCCCACAATCCTTACAGATATATCTGAGAGTGACTTCTTCAGATAGAGAAACCAAGTATCCACTGCAAGGTTATATGTACACAGATACACACCCTGAAATACCTGAACTTTTACACCCACTGGTGTAACAAATATTTAATTTTACCCTTAAAATAATTCTGAAATAAAATTATGGACCCACACTGTAATTGTTGTGGCTGTCAGGAAATAGCACTTTGTCCCAACTTGCAATAGACTGAAGGACGCGCAGTCTCACAAACCAGTGGATAGATACAAAAGATTTGGGAAAAAAGTGGAAACAATCACAGATCATTCCTTCCCCTCTTTCCCCTCCCTCCAAGAAGAGATTGTTTCCTATTCAGTGTTGATTATGTTATCAAAGGGACCTAGAAACAAAATGTTGTGTTCCTCCCTGATATGAAAACACTCCTGACTTGAAAGTACAGCCGAGCTTTTACACAGTGTGGTTTCCTTAGCAATGTCAATACTGTGCTGTGTGTTGAGAGGTGGGGAAGGAGGGAAGCTAAGAGAAAAATCATCAGAATGCAACAGAACTCGGCCTGGGATAATTACAGATTATGTAAAAGCACAGAGCATTTCCCTATGGTAGTCAGTCCAAGGCACTTGCCAAAATTTTGGCTTTTGAACATATTCTTTGAAACTATATCAGAAACTGTTATAGGAAATCCTCAGAATCCACACAGATATCACAGTGAAGAAGTAACAGGATAATTGTACCTCTAATTTGGGCAAGCTGCCCTGGCGATGAAGAACGGAAACGCCGCCGTGGTCTGTTCTCACAAGTCTGAGCGGTTGGATGGTCCACGTGAACCCAATGTCCCATTAGGATTCTCTCTGCTGCTCTGGTCAGCCTTGGTCTTTGACCTTCACTGAGCTCCCCAGCACTATCATCAGAATCCTACACAGAACAGCAGATATAAAACCCCCCCAATGTATTTCTTCTAAAACCAGGCATTGTTATCTACTTACATTAACCCTTAAAGCATATATAAACTTAAGTCATAGAATCATAGAATGGTTTAGGCTGGAAAGGACCTCAGAGATCATCCAGTCCAACCCCCTGGCCACAAGCAGGGACACCTCCCACCAGCCCAGGTTGCCCAAAGCCCCATCCAACCTGGCCTTGAACACCTCCAGGGTGGGGGTATCCACAGCTTCCCTGGGCAACCTGTGCCAGGGCCTCACCACCCTCACAGTAAGGAATTTCTTCATGATATCCAGTCTAAATCTCCCCCCTTCCAGCTTAAAACCATTTCCTCTCATTCTATAGCTACCTGCCCTTGTAAAAAGTCCCTCCCCAGCTTTCCTGTAGGACCCCTTCAGAAACTGGAAGGCCACAATAAGGTCCCCCCAGAGCCTTCTCTTCTCAAAGCAGAACAGCCCCAACTCACAGAATCCCAGAACGTTAGGGATTGGAAGGGACCTCCAAAGCTCATCCAGTCCAATCCCCCTGCCGGAGCAGGAACACCCAGATGAGGTTACACAGGAACTTCCTCAGCTGGTCCTCACAGGGGAGGTGCTCCAGCCCTCTGATCATCAGGTCTATACTATTAGCACTGAATAAAGGAAACTGAAACTGAGGAGATACCATCTAACTGGGTTTGAAAGCAAGATCTGCATTTATCAGTAGACAGATAAGAATCACTTACAGCAAACAACATCACTTATTTTGTTAGTGGTATCCCAACGTGGTCTGAACCTACCTTATATTTTTAGCATATGAAGTCTTTAATGTTACACATATGGTCATTATTGGCTGCCTCACCTTGTAACATTGGAAGCAGCTAAAAACTATTGACTCCCTGTTGTGTAGCACCTCAAGTTCAGTGACTGATGGCACTTAAAATAGGGATGGTTCTCTGGATTCTGACTTTCAAAGCTGCAGAGAAAATCCAGCTTGCTTCTATGCAGGAAAACATACACGCACATACACAGGAGCAGTCTAAGGCAATACTAGTAATATCTAGGAGAATATTCTTTCTCCTATAAACAAGAAGGTATGCTTGCACACACCTCACCAGAATCATGGGGGGTAGTTTATTAGTGTCTTGTATGGACTGACTGAGCAGTCTGTGACTACGGGAAAGGGAAAAAACAAATTAGAGATGCATTTGTAATTCGCAGTGCTGATGAGAAAACGTCACTGCAATTACAGTCAGACTCTGAGCTGACACTGTAGAAAGCTTTTCACTAAGTACATCCACCAGAGCTCATTAAGCAAAAGAGAGACACAAAGGAACAGTTAAGGAGGTGAACGTAGTGAGTAATTATTTAGACTAAACTGACCAAGACAGAAGGAAGAAACTGCATATGCATCAGTAAAATCACAAAAAGCAAGATCTGTCGTAAATAAAGGTGTCCATGAACCATGTTGCAGTATTCAAAGTTCACTTCCTTTAAACATTCCTCCAGCTATGTCCGTTAGAGTAGGCACTCGGTCCAAACTATTATTTTCCACACAGAAAACACTGAGATGTGTGACAACAGAATTACTCTTGGCCTTTGTGACTCAGCCAGTTCTAGTTTTCTGCTAGCCAGTTTTTTCTGCCAGCTGAATATGAATATTTTGAGGTTTTGTTCCAAGATCAGTATCAACAGCACGTGCAGAAGTGCATGTAAACATTTGCTGAGTTATTCTTCATACCTCCCTAAAACACACATACGGCTGTTAAGTGCCGGGAACTGGTACTGTTAAACACATCACCTAGATTGCTGAAGTGACAGAAAACTTCCCTGGTGTTCAAAGCGACAGGACAAATCTGGCACACTGGAACAGTCACATACACGTCTTGAAAATTAGATACGTGCAATGCTATGTACAGCTCACTTGTCTATAACAACACTTAACCTTCAGTGGTTTTAAAAGATTGTACACGAGAACATAGCCAAGAGAAGCGAGATCGCTTCCAGCACGGAATGAAGTCTATGAACCTGCTCTGCAGTGAACAGGAAGGATAAGCTTGAACTATTTCATCTACTTTTGAGCAAGAAAGTGTTACTTCAAAATTACTGTCCAGAAAGCAACAGGACTGCAAGTTACCTCCAAATGGTGCATTCCTTCGTGTGCAGCAACAGGTCTTTGATTTAATTTGGCTAAAAGAGTCAGGACAGGATCCCTGTGATAGTCTTTATCTGGTCTTCTCACTATTTGCCCTTCACTGGGAGGATCATAATCCTAAAATAAAGAAACAAAATCCACATAATACATAATCCAAAACTGGTTTTTGTAGGAACTTTAATCATTCTTTGGGAATAGATTAAATTTCTGATGGGACAGTACGCACAAGTGGAGCATGGCCGTGTATGGGCAGAAATGGTTAAGAAGAATGGGCAGGGAGAAGAAAAGAGGATTTCTATGCTAGGACATTTAAAATTTGCAGTGTTGAGGTTGGAGATTGACTCGTCCAACTGGACTGCACAAGGCAGTACTTCTTTCAGTGTCTGACCGCCACAGTAAAAACATTTCCTATGTTCAAACAGAATTTCCTGAATTTCAACCTGTGTCCACTGCCTCCTGTCTTCTCACTGGGCACCACTCAGAAGAGTCTGGCTCTGTCTTTCTTACTTCTTTCCACCAGGTATTTACACACACCGCTGAGATTTCCCCCAGAGTTTTCTCTTCTCAAGGCTAAAGAAGCCAAGCTCTCTCAGTATGACACCGATCCTTTCATTGTTTTTGTAGCTCTTTGCTGGGCTCGCTTCAGTAAATACTTATCTTTCTTGTATTGGAGAGCCCCTAACTGGACACAATACTCCAAATGCTGCCTCACCAGTAAAATAAAATTAAAAAAAACCCAACAGCAAAAAAACCCCCTTGATCTGGGACGCTTCCAGGACAATGGACTAAAGCAGACGTCAGATAAGAAACTATACTGAAATTTTAAGCAGCTTTAACTAACTCCAGCCTCAGCTAATCTATTTTAATAATTTAAGCGCATAAGCAATTAAAAGATGGCTCACAGCTGACACAGCTCAGAGCATAACAATCTTCTATTCTGTTTAAGATGCCTTAAAACTAAAAACAATAAAGAAACGAAAATGCGTATTAGCTATCTCTAACCTACAGATGTCTATAAATCACGTTTCTTTTAAAATATAAATTATTTTTTATAATGTGGGGGGTTTTTTGAGCTCTAAAATTCTAACATTCTTTGTAAGTGTACAGTTCATAAGCATAAATTTTAAAAAATTTTTAAGTGAACATGCTTAAAGCACATCCAATTCACCAAGACACACAAGGCTGAACACCACACAAACTCCATTTCTCTGTGAAGTATTTCCTTACCATTTCATTGGCATCTCGCAAAGTACTGGTTAAGCTCTCAGCAAGGTTTGGAAGAGACAGTCCTCCTTCTGCTAAAGAAAAATATTTTCAGTTACAAATACTAAAAGCCATGCCAGATATGTGAAAGAAAGCCAAGGCCACATTCTTTAATAATTGCAACACAGTGCTTTAGTAAAGTTGGAAATTCCTACTGCCGGACGTGCATTATAAAGATGTAATTTCAGCTTCGCTCCCATACTTTGCTTTCAATAAAAACTTAGTACTTGGTACCGCATGGTACTTGTGCAAGACAGTCCCAATTATTTCTCAAGTTGATTTTATCACAAAAGAGTGTATTTAATCTTTTTTCATTTGTAAGCAGAAGCCTTTTGTTCAGAGAGAAGAAAAAGAGCAATGAGGTCTTTTAAATCTAAAAGCATGAACCGAAGGTTAAGATCCAGGTTAACGTTTGCAGTTTGACCAGAAAATGTACGACCTGTAACTTCAGTAGAGTGGAAGAGACATTTATAAAGAAAAAACATTAACGCAAATTCTAATTTCCACAGGTTTGTCAAGTCAGCTACCTCTTGCAGCCAGCATCTGTCCATAGCTGAAGAGCACCTCCCCTTCTGAGATGGGTCTGTCTGCAGTTTCTGTTTCTGTTTCGGTGAGGGTAAGGCTGCTTTCCTGTGTGGACTGCCCAGAACTAACTGTGGGCACAGGTGACGCAACCGGGGCATCGCAAGGAAGCGACTCGATGGGCCTCGCTGACGACTGCCGAGGTGGTAAAATCAAGGCCTCTGGTTCCTCATCATTAGCCACTGACATCTCACTAGAATGCAAGAATCTGCATTATGAATACACCAAAGCACGTTGACCAATATAGACTAAAGTCTTAATCAATACTGAAAATAAATTAATTTGCAAGTATTTTTTCAAATAGCAGCATTTTACAGAATAGTCTGAAAATCACCACGGTTCAATGGCATCATTAGTGAATTTCTGGTTATAACAAAAAATGACCACGTGTATTCCACGTGTAATATTAAAATAAAATGCTAATAGTACAGCATTTCATTGTCACTACATTTATCACTGGCAGGTGTAACGATACCGGTTTCCTAAGTACAATGTTCAACAGGACATGAATAAGAACCAATAAATTCTGAGAAAGGCCCTGATTTCACTTCTTTTCTCCAAAATATAAGTCAAGCAATTAAAAAAAAGAATCCTGCCTTATCTCAATGCCTCCTGATAGACACATTACTCATTTCTCCACTGACTTTTTGGGGCTCTATGTAGAAACAATACATTCAGTTTTAAGAAGTTAGAAAAGCGTGCAGCTTGTTCAACTCACACAGCCTTGGGACGGAATGGTTCCTCAGTGAAAGGACTGGGTTTCTCTTCTTCCAGAGGAAGTTCTGCATCATCCCATGGGTTTGGAGGCTTTGGACTTTCCACTTTTGCAGCTCTGGAGGCCCGTTCTGAGGCAGGAGGGCTTGGTGCGGTTGCTGCAGGAGGTGTATTGACAGGGGTAACAGCAGGGGTGCCAACACAACTCGTGGCAGCTGGAATCCCAACTCCTGCACCTGCGAAGCCAAATTTCAGAACAGAAAGGAAAGCAGGCAGTAAATCTCAGGCAGAGTTAGTCAGTGCCATGAAGCACTTGTAGTTTTTGTGATATCTTTTGATAGTCATGGAGACAAGACTAGATTAAGAGTAGTTTCTTTTAAGTACAGTGTTGGCATCTGAAGGAGCTAGAATAAAACCTCAATTGCTTACTTCCTTTAATAAGGGAGACAGTTCTGCATTTAAAAAACTAAGCTGCTTTACTTGAAGAGTGTAAGTTTGATTTAATTAACATTAGAAACACAGGAAGGAGCAAGAGACAGCTACTTCTCTGATGTGAAAAGTGTAGAGGGGCTGGGAGGGCTGGAAATCACACCAACCATGTAAATGTGCATTAGGTCTGAAAATAGAACTGTTACCAACTAAAAGATGTTTGCTTTTTATACGAATTACCCATAATTTTTGTATCACATGAGCTCCCACTTGACTTACAGCCTCAAGAATATTTATCCTGAGAGATAACATGTCTTTGAAGAAGAAAATTAAAGGCAGTAGATTAAAGCATATTTGCTACTTCTAAACTTCAATTATTATCTTTACTACCTGTTTCTTTATTTTTTTCACGTTCGTGAACATCCCCATTCCTGTTTGTAAGAGACAGAGAAGACTCCGGAGTTCTGACTGGAGGCAATTCTTTTTCTGAAGGTGGTGTTTGCGGTGGTGTGGCCTGGGGTGTTGGCAATGGAGTAGGCACAAGAGACTCCTAAGGGAAAAAAGATCGTAACCACGGTTATTATCTCAATGCAAAATTCCTATCTTCAGAGTATCCCCTGAGACAGCTGAGGAAGGAAGAGAAAGGCAGGTTACCACGGCAGAGGAACTGAGTTGCTTGGATACATGCTGTATGGATCTGCCTCCTCCAGCTCAATATAAAGTTGCACCAGGCTAAATGGTACACCTGGACAAAATAAAATAAAACCCGGTAAATTACCTTATGTGAATTTTAATAAAGCATTTGATACAATTTTAAGCAAGAAAATATTTTGGGATATGGATGAAATTGAGTCAGTATAGTTTTATGGTGAGAGAATTAGCTAAAGAGAAGACTACAGAGCAATAGCCAAGACAGTAAAGCACTAGAAGAAGCACAAACACAGTTGTGATGTTTCCTAAAAAGATGACAGCAATGGAGATAAGTCTGACAAGCTAGGATGATGGTGGTTGTTGTTCAGCCTGCTATGGAGGAAAATGATGGACCTTTCCAGGCTTTTTCCAGCCCTGTTCTCTGGCATTTCATAAAGAAACCAAGACAGACAGGCTAAAGGAAGGCTTCCAGGCTGGTTGCTGAAGAATAAATCCTTGGACTGGTGATTTTGATTAAAAACCCTTATGAGAAGTGGAACATGCTGACACATGTGGCAATTCGCACACAACTGCACGATGTTGAACACCCAAGAACTCGGTAACTGGGCAGCTGAAGTTCTGCAAAGGAAACCTGGCAGTAGGAAGGGGCAGATCACGAATGCATAAACGATGTCTTCAAGAACTTCTGCTACAAGCTGAGCAGAAATGGAAGAAGAAAAAAACCCGTATGAATGTAAAAGTTACACCAAGGATAAGTATGAGCCTAACTAGCTACCTTAGATTCCAAAAAAGGTAGGAGAGTATCACTGCTATAGCACAAGGCACTGAGGAAACCTCAGCTTCCACACTGCATCATTATTAAAAATGTCTATTAGCATATTAATGTTACCTGTGGTCAAGACCAATCTAAATTAGAAAACGTAAGAGGAGTGCCCATCAGTTAGAGTCGAAAATGGTACAAATGTGGACAATCAGTTTATTTGGCCTAATCAGACAAAGGCAGAAAAGGACAAAACTTATCTTTAGAAGTGCAAATGAATATATACAGTAAGAAAACACCAACCATTTCAGCCTAAGGACATTTCAGTTTAAGTTAGTACAGAACCAAGAAGGCTTAAGAGGGGCATTAGGACGGTTATTATAGCAGAGGTTTCTAAGTATCAGAAGAATAAGCTACAAAAGCCAGTCCTCTTTAACATGATATGCTCCCAAAACTGTAATGGAGTGGGGACAAGCTCTTTAGATTCAGGGTGGTGCAGGATGGCTGAATTTCAGCCTACAGCAGTGAAACAATCACTTTTGACTCTAGAACAATCTGTGGTCGCTTACAGCGGGCACTCGGTGCTATTTCAGTCTATGTGCAATGCAGCAAAGTAGAACAATTCATCTCAGTTTCAACACAGCCTTGTATAGGTAGACTTCTAAGCCCAGCCATTTCCACATTCACCCCAAAGACACCCTACAACACCAGGTTTTTCTTGATTATCAAACAGAACAGAGAAAATTACCCTGGATTACAGGAAGCTCTACTAATCATTTAAGCATTTACTGAAAACTACTGAACTCAAAGCTTAGAAAGAATTAATACTAACTTCTATAGATCCTAAAGTATGGTGGCAAGTCCGTAAGACCAAAAATATTATCACACTCAGCTTCTCTTTTTTCTTACGTGAAGAAATTAGTTTCTTTGCAAGATGGCACCACAGTTCACAGAATCACAGAATGGCTCGGTTGGAAAAGCCCTCTGAGATCATCATGTCCAACCGCTCCTGTCTACCCCCTAAACCATATCCCTAAGTACCTCGTCTACCCGCTCTTTAAACACATCCAGGGATGGTGACTCCACCACCTCCCTGGGCAGCCTGTTCCAGCTTCTGACGACCCTCTCAGTAAAGAACTTCCTCCTTATCTCTAACCTGAACCTCCCTTGGCACAGCTTGGTGCCGTTTCCCCTTGTTCTATCCCCCATCACCTGGGAGCAGAGCCCAGCACCCACCTCTCTCCAAGCTCCCTTGAGGCAGTTGTAGGTGGTGATGAGGTCTCCCCTCAGCCTTCTCTTCTCCAGGCTAAACAAGCCCAGTTCCCTCAGCCGCTCCTCATCAGGCTTGTTCTCCAGAGCCCTCCCCATCCTTGTGGCTCTTCTCTGAACATGCTCCAGAATCTCAACAACCTTCTTCTAGTGAGGGGCCCAGTTATATTTCTTGAGAATAGCACGAGCTGTCTTTTGACAACATGAAATCAAGTACCAAGTCTTTCCCTTAGAAATCATTATTTTTTTTTTTTTAAAGTGAAGTAGGTTTAATTTTGTTGGGGTATAATAAGGGATAATCCAAAAAAGGCAAATCATGTACATGTGGTTCACCAGTCTTTTTTCGTCATCTTTGTCTTGCACACAGTTGAACCATCATGCCACAAAGAAACCATCCCTCAGAACTTCAGTAGGAAAGATTAAATAAAATGGACTCTCACCACCATAACTGCTGTGCTTGGAGGAACATTTGAAGCAGGAACTGCTTTCTGAGCCCGCGTGTCACCCAGGACAGCTGCAATCGTCTCACTGAGAGCTTCGTTTACAAAATGACTTATCATTTCTGAGTCCACTGGCACACCAGCATCGATGAAGAGTTGAAACCCTCCACCACCTGCAACTTCAACTGAAAATGAAGGAACACAAAGCACACACTCAGGTCTCGCTTCTTAAAATGCACGTCCTATATTGCAGCCGTTCATTTTATCCGTGAACTTTTAAACATTTGCAAAAAGTGGGGTTTTTCTTCATTTTCCAGATAAACATACAGCAGTGGAGAAGCAATCCAGGATCACAAAGGCAGGCAGCAAAGGTCAGGAGAAATGCATTTGTCTCCCATTCTCACACGTTGATGAGGGAGGTAACTTTTGACATATCTACTAAGGAAAGAAAGGCAAACAAATGCTGCAGGCTTAGCAAGATGCCAAATCTGATCTCGATGGCCAATAACAGAAGTTGATTTGTACAGTGGTGTGTTTTATGTGTTCTTTTTCTTTTTTTTTTAGATAATTTATTTCAATAGCTTTATAATGCTTGGTCTATTAAAGCACGCGCTTCTGCATTTTATAGTTTCACTGGTTCAATGTTCTCCGCTCTTAGGCCCAGGCAACAGCTACCTCCACAGCTTGTTAAAATTAGCCAAAAATTGAGATAATCCATCAGCTGAGAACAACGACTCCTACTTACCAATGTCAGAGGTTTCAGTCTCACTGTCTTCACCCTCTGAGACGCTAACCCTGGGCACCATTTCTTTCTGAACTGGGTACATGCCACTGATAACTTTTGCCATTATTTCTTGTTCCACCCTAGCAGAATAAAACCCAATTAACTATCAGCAAACATCAAGGCACCTAAAAGTCTACAAAAGAGCATTGTTGACATAAAATGCAAGGCGGCTCAAAGGGAAAGGAGGGGAGGAGAAAAGGAAGGTATTCCTATGCATTAACTCCTTCTTCCGTATAAACTCTCTCACCACTGTGTTATATTGCAACTCACCAACTTATCAACCTGTTTTCTATAGTTTCTCTCCTCTGGATCAGCTCATCCAAAACATCAGAAGACTGCTGAGGAGCAGAAGCCACTGGAGGAAACAAAGGACCGTTGTATTTTGGCGAGGCAACTTTAAACTCTCCATTAAGCTCCAGAAGAGGCTCAAAGAATTCTGGAATTTCATCCCTCTCTTCTTCCTGAGCCTAATAAATAAGTAGTAGATTAAGTTATGGTGCGTTTCTGGAAGGCAATGTCACTGAGGTAACTGTCAGATTTTTTGCTCTGAGAGGCATTTGTAGATGTGTCACAGCACACAAACCACATTCTCCCTCCTAAGTACCTTGCAGTCAATTGATGCAATTCTAAACTTAGCAAGTCATAAATCTGTAGAGGTATAGGGCTGTAGGAACTGCTAAGTAAAACATGATTTGGCTCATATTTCCTGTCTGCGCAGCACAGGGCAGGGAGCCAATGGCAATGTTAATACTTGAGAAATTTACCCGTGACACAAGTCAGGTTTTTTTCATATATACTCCAGAAATGCTCAACGTTTAAAGAAAAAGAAGGGTTAGGAAATTTTCTACAGTTACTTGTTGGGTTAGCTTTTTCAGTGTGGTTTGGCTTTTGTTTGTTAGGCTTTTTTTTTTTTTTTAGAAATTAAACTTTTACTTTAAAGTCTCCTGTCCAAAAATACACATTCCCAAAAGCTCATGAGCATGCAGTCAGTTAAAATGGTAATAAAGTTGCCAGCATGAGACGTTAATAGTTTACACACATGTTACTTGTATGTTTACTCCTTCACTGACTTCAGTGCTCAAAGTGAAAAGGTATTTCTGGGTAATCAGTTCACAGGATCCTCACAGACACTTTGAATTTAACCTTAATGCGCTATTTCTAAAAGCTATGAAAGATGCTCAGTCTGCGTTCTGATGTTTGACTGTTTCCAAAAATGCCACCCTCCCTGGCCTGGAGAAGAGAAGGCTGAGGGGAGACCTCATCACCACCTACAACTGCCTCAAGGGAGCTTGTGGAGAGGTGGGTGCTGGGCTCTTCTCCCAGGTGATGGGGATAGAACAAGGGGAAACGGCACCAAGCTGTGCCAAGGGAGGTTCAGGTTAGAGAGAAGGAGGAAGTTCTTTCCTGAGAGGGTCGTCAGAAGCTGGAACAGGCTGCCCAGGGAGGTGGTGGAGTCACCATCCCTGGATGTGTTTAAAGAGCGGGTAGACGAGGTACTTAAGGATATGGTTTAGGGGGTAGACAGGAGCGGTTGGATGTGATGATCTCAGAGGGCTTTTCCAACCGAGCCATTCTGTGATTCTGTTATTCCCCTCCCCAAGCACGTACACAGCATTAAGTCCCAAAAAGCAGTCACCAACCCATCCTATCGTCATGTAACGCTTTCGAAATGTCTCCTGATGGCTGAGAACCTGCATCCTACACTCAAAATTAAAACCAAATGTCTCTCATAGCAATACAGTTCTCTAAGAAGAAAATCTGGCATGCCAGAGAGAGATGAAGAGCTGAGCCCTAAATTACCACTGAGAAGCATGTGATGTTGCATAAAAGAGCTCACTGTAAATCTCCGTTCACTAAGATTAATCTCCAACACAGTGAAAGGAGAAAAAGTCCTCTTTTCCCTTACATAAATTAATTTTATTTCAAACCCATAAGATTAAAAACCTGCTATAAATTTTCTATGAATAAAAGAACAAATCACTAAAACTAGAAAGAACAGAGAAGGAAAAAACAAAAAAAGACTAACGTTTTCCTATCTTGTTCCCCAACCCAGCATTAATACTTCTTTCCTACATTAATATTCTTTAAGAGTGAAGAGTCAGATAGGCCCATGATGAGTGCTACAACAAATAACTACTGGGGAGCGGGATCCTTCTGGATCTCGAAACAGTCATAATTCTTCAAAGAAAAGTTGTAACTTACGAAGCAGGCAAAAGAGAACGCATACATTTGGGTGACAAAGAACGAACTCGGAACCATTCTAGGCAGAGAAATAAGACAGAAGTTAAATGCAGAACGGCACTGGATGCCTCGCCAGCTGATGAGCAGTTCTGTCCTGTGAGGACGTCTGTATTCGTAACCCTAATTCATGCTGACAGCAAATGTAAAGATCTCTTTGTCCAGTGGTTGATTCCGCATTTTCATCCGACTGCATTACTCCATAAATTTTCTTTGATGTGCCTACCTGTTACAATCCTTTCTGAAAGTACGCAAAATACAAACATCTGGATTAAATAAAGTACAGACACTAAACTGAACATATATTTAGTAACTTCTGACAAACTTTTGCAGTTCTGCGCTTCTAAACTATGTGCAAAAATATTTTACATTTAATAGTGCACAAATCCAAAAGGAAATTGTATTCCTTTTGGGGTGATAGATTATCTCTGCTGAAATAAAAGAATAATATAATAGCCACTATTTAATTATACAGATTGAACTTGCACATAGATCACCTTGTAGGCCAACCCTGAATAATCTGCACTCAGTTCTGCATTTTACCTCCCTTGAGACTGTTGAAAATATCTACCGTGGCTCTCAATCAAAATACAGCATAAATTAGACAGTCTTTCAAATATGATTGGAATATTAATCACTGTGCTTTATAATAAAGTATCAAGTTGAGAGCCTATTTCCCAAATTACATTCAGGGAATTTAAAAAAAAAGTTTGAAATTATTCGGTGGTGTTAATTGTGTTCCATTACCAAACATGTATATGCTCGGTCTTTTATTAAAGTCTAAGTCCAAAACTTAGCCATGGATTTCTCCTTGACTGATTTCTTCTTGGCAGATTTCTCAAGCAATATTTACAAGCAAGGCCAGGCTGCGTTGCAGGTGCCACCTGTGCTCTTTTGTCTGAGGAGGGATACATGCAAAAAACAAATCACTGTCCCTAAGAGCATCTGTGGGAAACCACGGTGGAGGAAAACGCATTTACTGTGATCTGTGCAGTTTATTCATTTTGCAGGGATATTCAGAATGGAAGCAAAAATTCCGAGGAACAAGTCCTCCCCTTGCAATTAGGACACGTTCAGAGAGAGCAAAAAGCTTCTCTAATCCTCAATCCCAGTAAGTTTGCTAAAGGCACTGCAGAACACGGCCACTGCTAAGAGACTGAGAGCAAACTCAGTAAATCCGAGTCTGTTCTGGGCTCATTTTAGCTGAACAGATTTCTCACTCTGGAGTAAGGCACGGTCTATGCACGGGGTGGCTTTACCAAACCTCTTCTGTGCAGAAAGGCTGAACCTACTTTGTTGTAGGTACAACCACCGGTCAAAACTAAAGAAGTGTGTAAATCAAAGCTGGAACAGCTTTTACTGCTTTATTCCGCATGTGAGTTTCCCAATAGTGAATAAGAGCACCTAATTCAACTGCTTTGGAAGATGGAGCTCTGGGTCTTTAAACACCAGACAGCAAGGTTGCAGTGGGAGAACAACTTTTCCTGTGGCAGAGCTTGTTTTACAAGTTGGGACAGTTGCATTAGTTCTCAAAAATGTTAAAACAAATTGCTGTTATGTTATGTGATACAAGGCTTGTCTCCATCCACAAAAAGGAACGCAGAGGAACAAGGACAGATGGGAAAGTAACCTAAAACCACAGTCAAGCACCATGACCTAGCTATGCCCAGGGCTGGCACAGGCTCAGCCACAGTGCCCAGGCATGAAACGCAGCGAGATGAGCCCATGGAAAGCCTCTTCACAGCACCTTTCCTAGGGCTGAGCAGCTCTATTTGGGAGAAGCGATGACACGACTTGTTTTGGGATCACAGAATTGCTCGGTTGGAAAAGCCCTCTGAGATCATCACGTCCAACTGCTCCTGTCTACCCCCTAAACCATATCCTTAAGTACCTCGTCTACCCGCTCTTTAAACACATCCAGGGATGGTGACTCCACCACCTCCCTGGGCAGCCTGTTCCAGCTTCTGACGACCCTCTCAGTAAAGAACTTCCTCCTTCTCTCTAACCTGAACCTCCCTTGGCACAGCTTGGTGCCGTTTCCCCTTGTTCTATCCCCCATCACCTGGGAGAAGAGCCCAGCACCCACCTCTCCACAACCTCCCTTGAGGCAGTTGTAGGTGGTGATGAGGTCTCCCCTCAGCCTTCTCTTCTCCAGGCTAAACAAGCCCAGTTCCCTCAGCCGCTCCTCATAAGGCTTGTACATGGTACAACACTTTGTATGTTGTGTTTACAGGGAGGAACCAGAGGTGTGGAAAGGGAAGGACCAAGATGGTTTGGGTCCAAGTGTGGGAAAACAGAGGGATAAGGGGACAAGAGTGGCTGCCTGGGACACTGGCCTGGCCTTGGCCCATGCCTGATCAGTGCAGTCTGTCCTCACTTCTCACTGAACTCCATTTCCAACAGTTCTCCTGAGCAAATGGCTTTCAGGGGATTGCACATCCAGATGCCAGAGTTGGGGAGGGCAAGGACTCAGGCCCAGAACTGAATAAATTGAGACTCTTAACGCCAGATCCTGGAGGGATCCACAGTGCCTGTGTGTATGCCCATGCACACATGTAAACATGCACACGTACATACACAGAAGCACATGTGTATCCCAGACCTCCATCCTGAACAGTCAGAGAGGAGATCAGCACAGGACTGATGCTCACAGGACGTAGAAAAGGTAAAGCAAATCCTAGGAAAATGAAATGCCTGGGCCGAGATCCTGAGGCCTTCTGGCAATATCCACTGGCAAAGGAAAATATTTCTTTTAAAAAGGGGGTATTTCACACAAATACTTATCCTCTTCAGTTCTAATAGAATTAAGCTTTTGTAACAATAAGCTGTTTTCCTGTATAGCATTTTATGCACATTTTTTTCATTAATCTGGAGCCTCTTTTATAACAATAACTTTGTTTTCTTTTGATGTCTTAAATAGTCCTGCCACTCCAGAGGTTGGTTTTAGGCTTTCACATTATGTTTGCCTTGCACATTTTTAAGAACGTTGTCTGTGTGGTCACAGGCCAAACATGTTTCACTTGGAACATTTTTTGGTATTGTGGGAAAAATACATCCCATTGCCAAAAATAAAAGATAAAAGCAATCCAGGAGAAAAAGAAAAAAAAGAAAAGATTAATAACTGTTATCCATATATTAAAATTAACATTGCAGCACTTTTTGTTAGCTCATAACCTAATTTCTTAAAGAGCTTTCCTACTTATTTTTATAAAATAAAGCTTTCTTCGTGCAAACAGAAGGAAGTTGTCCAAACAGATTTAACTCCTCCCCTCCAATAACATCAGGTAATTTTGAAACTAAAAATGAGTAACACATTTCCCCATTTTTGATAGGCAAACCACCCATTTAGGTCTGGTTAAGCTAACTGATAATGTTAAATGATTAATCAATTTTAAAAATAAATCTACCGTACTGCCCTGTAGACTACAGAGTTAATAGCTGAAGTACACTCTGATCCTGGGACCAGGAGCATATAGAACAGGTAAAATAAAGCCATTTTTGGGTAGATTTTGATATGCACACAGCAAGTCTAGCTCACTGGAAAGAAGCTTGAGGAAAAGGCACTTGAAGATAAATGTTAGCTGCTACAGCAATGTCAAGCTCATGGTATTTACTGAGTCCTAAATGCAGCAGGAGGAGGAAGCCGCCACCTTTCACAGAGGCAGGAAACAACACAGCAGCTGAGTGGCAGCACCTTGTTTCATTCACAGGAGCCTTTCTCAGCTACTGTTGAGCTCCTGCTCCTGCTCTTAACCTGGAGAAGTGAAATGCAGGCTGCTTCACCAACCTCGGGTGCCTGTCAGCCCCCACTCTGACTGATACGAGGTCAGCTAACTGAAGAAAGGAATTGCTACCTAAAAAGATTCAACTGTAAAAGAGTACCTCCAATAAAGCCATGTTGTCATCAGCCCGAAACAGCAACGCTGTTAAACACGCACAGACACACCAGCAGAGCATCCAGCAAAACATGCATTGTGTAAACTCCTCATGGGATCCACGAGATGAGTGGTGCTCACATACACTGCTTGCTACTGAAATGAGGTGTTACGCTAAAGCATTTTAGGACCTCGAAAGCATATGCAAATTGCTCCATACTGAAATTTTCTGAAAAGGAAGCCTCAGAGAATACTTTCGCATTTTAAAATATAGGTCACCTTATTTAAAATCTGTTAAGAGCATCTTAGATACGCATTATAGTTATATTTATATATTTATATTTAGAGTTTGAAATTGTGAACTCTAAGTGCTGTAATCACCGCTGATTTTAGAGAACTACTTTTATTTCTAGTGGATTCTAACACGCCCAGTAAAAGCTAATTTCAGTTTTTGATTGTAATTCTTCAAAGGTCCTTTACTTACCAGCACACAGTAATTTCTAATGCTGTTTACAGAACTGTAAAAGTTCAGCATTGCTCACAGTGTCTACATTTAAAGTTGCTAGTGAACTCATTTTCCACATTGTGTTTTCAGTTATGAGAGAATAATATAAAAGAAATATTAAAACGCTTAAAAGGAAAGAACACCTTTGCAAAGTAATTACCTGCATGACATCAGTAACATCAGCTAAATTAGTTCCTGGAAACTTGGTGTCTTCCTCCTCACTGTGTATATCTTCTGGAGTCTTGTAAAGACAGATTGACATTGTTAGGCATTTCATACTGGGGGGAAAATGCATTAGTAGAAAAACTTCATTACAAGAAAGCAATTAAATCTCCACTCACTGACAATAGCCCGAAACCAGAAAAAAATGCTTTATCCCCCTTAAAAGTTAGGAGGAATTTGTTTGCATAGCATAAACAGAGACCATTAGCCCTTTTTCTTGTGTGCTGACATCTAAAACCCTAACAGAATATCTCAACATGAAAAGCTCTAGGGCAATACCTGTAACTCTTACTAAAAAACCTCAGAACACAGTAAGACAAAATACTGTAAATACAGCACATAAGAGACTAGAAGCATCTTAAGCAATTTGCTTATGTGTTATTTAATAATATCATTTTTATACGATAATCACCATCTTAGTCCACAATCCCTATCTTATTCAGTGAATACCTTGACCACTGGACCCTGGAGGACTTAACTCCTTAAGCAGCTAACACACCGGGAAAACAGAAGGCACAATAACTACCCAAAAATAATCACTGCATCACCATGCCTTCACACTGCTCAGTCTGCACCGCACAAGGCAGCAGTCTGCTGGAAGAAGCAGAATTCCTCTCACCAAAACAAGATAGTGAGATAACTTTGCAGCAATTTAACATATTTTCTTTTTTAACAAATCCGAATTCACAGACATTTGGACCAAGCAATACCTGTATTACAGCGTTGACAGGAGGAAATGCAGGTTCAGAGCCTGGAACAACGCGGTCTACACTCCCACTGCCACTTGAAATACTGTCAATGTCGACACTTGGTAACACCTAGGACAGAAAAAAGCACCAGTATGAAAACCTATGCGTTACCTCGGCTACTACTGTTAAATTTTTCTCTCTTCCATTTGCTACTCAGCCACTAAACTTCAGTGACCTCCTTTTCTCACACCTCTATGATAATTTGGTTCCAAAAACCAAAATACTGTAACGTACAAAAACTAACCCCAGAAATATTCACCTTTTTTCTTGCAATACCTGATTTCTCACGTTATCCAATTCCCCGATACCTTTGTCTTGCATGTGACAAAAGGTAAGCACACTTACAACTACTTATATAGCAGATTTGTGTTTGACTTGCAATTCATTTACACCACACTGGCCTACAGGCCACTGTGGAGGTTGGTTATTGGCTTCACATTGCCATACACCTGGTATAGTAAAATCAAGGGGTAGTTGTATTACAACATAGTTTGTAACAAAGGCACGTCCGTTACAGCATCAAAACACGCGTGGTTTTTTTAAGGTTTAAATGCTTGCTTAATTCTCTGGGGAGGCGGGAGAAATCACCTTAAACATTTAAGAACTGGGTGCAATAACAGCAAAATGTACGTGGGTGGAATACAGTAGCACGGCAAGGGAACAAACCACAGACTACTCGACCTGTATTTAAACTTCGAGTTCCACGAATCATTTGTATCTGAAGGACATGTGTAGGAGTGTGTATGTTCCCAACAATTTGAATCCAAAATAATGAACATGTAAGAAACATTAATTTCCTTGACAATAGACTTGTGTGAGAAAAACAAAAAACAAATTAAAATAAAATAAAATAAAACAGTCGAAAAACCCAAGCCAGCCCACTAGGTAAGGACTGCAACGGCTGATTGATCAGAAGCGAAATCCTTGGGTGGACTATCACGCTTGAACCAAAAATCTTAAAGGCCAAAGCGGTCATCCAAGAAACCTGACATTTATATTAATACTTTTTTATACCAAGTTTGTTCCAGCTCAAAAAAACTAATTTGAAAACAACCAAACCAAACCAAACCAAATCAAACCATAAAACCTCACGTGACATCGAACTATTTTACAAACACCCTGCAAAGGTGACTTAGGAAAAAACAGTTTTCTATTCCGGTCAAATAATAATAAAGTTAGTTGTTAAAATATGACTAAGAGTATTAGCGCAGCACGACAACTTCTTGGTCCCTCCATTTCATATGTTGCTAATGCCCACTGAAAATCATCTACCAATGACTAAGTAACTGCTGGATGAGACTCTCTTTAGTTAGCACTCGTTAAAGCAAACAAAGAAACAGCCATCCCTCTTGACACGTACCTGCACCGACAGCTGAGGTGGATCCTTTTTCTCCGATCTCATCTCTACTACAGCGATGTTTGGTTTTTTAATCTCAACGGGTGGTTTAGGTGGCACTTGAGGAAGAGAGGTTGTAATTGTAACAGGGTGCGGTTTGCCTATCACCAATCCAGCAGGCTGCGGTGAGATGTCGCTGATCTGGGTCTGACCTAGAGTTAGGTTAAAAATAATTGAAGATAAATATAAATCTCCAAAGTAAATTGATAATTTAATTAAAGTGAAGTTCTGGCTGCCTGTATTTCTCATGAGACAGACTGTGCAATTACAGACTAATTAAAAAATCCCCTATTAACACTAGCTAAGGTACAGTGCTTCATCAGATAATTTTAAGGCTTTCCCAGCAAAAACGATAAAGTCAAAACTGCCGTTTTTAAAAATTATCCTCTTTTCTTGACTATGGTGACACCTGCAGCTGACAACTAGAATAACTGCACTGTGTTTGCCATTCAAAAAGGGCACACCATGCTCCCCCCACCCCACATTTTCTTAATCGTATTCAAAATATTACCACACTGAGTATAGCATCCCACAATTCTTTGAGACAGAGGTTTAAAAATACAATTATTTTCTTTAAATGCCAATATAATGCTGACCCTTCCTGAAACAAGGCTTATATAAATGTTCTATTGAAGGTCCAAAAACACAGAAGTCATGACAATGAATTCAGTGTGTTTAGCACAATCCTGCTGACATCATTGGGCTGAATCACAGAATCCCAGAATGTCAGGGACTGGAAGGGACCTCCAAAGCTCATCCAGTCCAATCCCCCTGCCGGAGCAGGAACACCCAGATGAGGTTACACAGGAAGGCGTCCAGGTGGGTTTTGAATGTCTGCAGAGAAGGAGACTCCCCAGCCTCTCTGGGCAGCCTGGGCCAGGGCTCTGTCACCCTCACTGAGAAGAAGTTTCTTCTCCAATTGAAGTGGAACCTCCTGTGTTCCAGCTTGTGTCCATTACCCCTTGTCCTATCATTGTTTGTCACCGAGAAGAGCCTGGCTCCATCCTCGTGACACTCACCCTTGAAATATTTCTAAACATGAATGAGGTCTCCCCTCAGTCTCCTCTTCTGCAAACTAAAGAGCCCCAGCTCCCTCAGCCGCTCCTCATAAGGGAGATGCTCCACTCCCTCCATCATCTTTGTGGCCCTACGCTGGACTCTCTCCAGCAGTTCCTGTCCTTCTTGAACTGAGGGGCCCAGAACTGGACACAATATTCCAGATGCGGTCTCACCAGGGCAGAGTAGAGGGGGACGAGGACCTCTCTGACCTACAACCACCCCTCTCCCGATACACCCCAGGATGCCATTGGCCTTCTTGGCCACAAGGGCACAGTGCTGGCTCATGGTCATCCTGCTGTCCACCAGGACACCCAGGTCCCTTTCCCCTGCACTGCTCTCTAATAGGTCATTCAAAATGTAATAAAAAATGTTGAATCCAAGGGCCAGCAATTCAGTTCCTGCTTCCATGTAAACTTAAAGCCAGAACAAGAGCCCTAGAAATGTGAAGTATACCAGACAAAGTATGTACAGCTAAGCAAATAATTGCTGTGTCAGTGTGTCTCCAGACATCCAGCATGAAGAATGAGGAGAACCAGAACATTTTAAACTGTTCTCCCATGCAGATTTCCCACAAGAAAGGCATCTGCAGATCTCATGGACCAGGGCACACTGCTGACTTAAGAAGATCACAGAATCACAGAATCACAGAATCACAGAACGTTAGGGATTGGAAGGGACCTCAAAAGATCATCTAGTCCAACCCCCCTGCCGGAGCAGGAACGCCTAGATGAGGTTGCACAGGAAGGCGTCCAGGCGGGTTTTGAATGTCTCCAGAGAAGGAGACTCCACAACCTCTCTGGGCAGCCTGTTCCAGTGCTCTGTCACCCTCACTGAGAAGAAGTTTCTTCTCAAGATGCAAGTTGTATGTCCATGAGGTAGCAGTAATTAACCTTCACCCATTCCTTCTACAGGTTATTTGCTCCTACCTAGTGGAATAGCCATAGGAATTAGGTGACCTTCAAGCAGACCACAGACAGCAGGTACATCTTGACTTGGACTAAAGAGATACTGATTTTCTTGGGTAAGTGCATATAAAGGATGCTGTTTCTTCAGGCTGGTTACCACCTTCTGTGTGTGAGAAGTCTGTGTTCTTACCGACTTTACCTTTGTACCTGAAACAAGAGCAGACAACCTGTGTGTCATCGACACGTGTACAAAACCCAGTAAGCCCTTCTACTGAAACAATTATACATTTTTGCTGTGAGATGGAGGGAGGCAGGAAGGGCAGAATCTAAACGTGCTAAGTTAGATACCTCAGCATTGACAGCAATGAAGGAGTTAAAGTTACAGGTTTCAAGCATCTGAATGTAGCAAATAAAGGCACAGAAATGTGAAGAAAAGGACCCAAGGATGGTAGCAGGCTGGAATGAATAAACAGCCAACAGGAATAATTGGTATGCAACAATGCCTAAGCACGTAGCAGAGCAGAATGTTTACTGCAGTGCTGCATTTCTCGCCATACAGTCATGCAAGGTCTTATTCAACCAATAAACTTCGCAGACAATGGATGCTATTAGGGAAATCATTAACTTCAATCTAAATGGATAAAAACCTCCCCAAAAAGGAGACAACCATGATGAATCAAACAGAAGTGCTGGTTTGTAGGCAGTAGGAAAATGAACCTGGAAAGAACCACATTGGTAACCAGCTGGATATCTTCAATACAGCTGACGAATGTTATCTCACTCTGTTGTTCCTAATCATCACCCTTCCTGTATTAATGGCCAGTTAACACAGGGCAACAAGCACTTTGTAGATCTGCTCACAGCTCTCTAATTAATTGAAGAAAAAAAATAAGTCAATGATTATAAAATTTAGGGCTAAGGAAGATTGATAATGTGACTTTTAACAAACGCAAACAAGCAAGCAAGGCAATTCACTCAAGAAGTGCTATTTTTGTATGCACAAATTACGAGTTATAAGCCTAAAAACAAGAATGGCAAGTTATAACTCTTCAGTGAGAAAATACAGGTCAGAAAGAAGCGTCTCCGAGAAAGGCTTTAAGGTCATGCTGGATAAGCAATGCAGTGAGAAATCACAGTACAATGCTGCGGTCAAAGGGATAAATGCAATCCTCAGATGTCTCAAGAGGATGTCAGCGAGGAGGAGCAGGAGAAGACTTCCATATATGAAGTACTGATTCTGTATCTCTGTAATATTAAAATAGATTGGATCTTCAAAGGCCTTTTTCATTTTTTAAGGAAAATCACCTGGAAACTGAAGTAGCTGTAAACTGAAGCCAAAATCTCACTATAAATCAGATACAAAATGTGAAGTGTCCCACTTGCTTCTGAACCATAAGGTATCAAGCCATGGGAAGCAGTAATTAAGGGCAGAATTTCTGATGTCTTTAAATGATGAGCACGTGCCTTTTGGCAAAGCATAGGTCAGCCAACAAACCTGCTCTTTAGCCAAAGACAAATTACTGGACCCAGCAACATAAACAGACACAGTTTAGTGGCTTGTGATTTAGAAGAGGTCATAGCACACGATCCAACCGTCCCCCCTGGCCTTGAACTTTTGAGTAAAAGCAGAAATTGGCAACATATCTGTGATACCGCCAACCTGTAAAAACAAAGTTTTCACAGCAAGAATGATTAAGTACCGTGTACACACAGCACCTCATTTTAATTGCTTTCAACTTTTCATTTCCCCCTGAAAAGTTTATTTGCACTGGGCAGAAACTAGGCACTTAATTAAACTGAGCTTTAAAAAACCCTGCTGTTTTACATACATTTATCAGTTCCAGTTATGCAAGAAAACAACTCCAACATTTTTTTTTTTTTAGAAATGCTCTCTTACTCATAAAAGTGTTGTTAGTTAGGTTTTTTCTTTCTAACTTCCCAGAAGAAAGCAAGCATTAGTCACGACAGTTTATTTGCAAAGAAAATGGTTGAGAAAGTTATAAAATTACTGAAAAGAGACTCTCCAGATGGCCATTTCGGTCTTAAATAAACATCCTTATTCTAACACTAATTTAAAACAAGCTCAGTGGACTGCTCTAACAAAACAGAGTCATTTAAGAAGTCTGCATTTGCCAGCCAGTCAAACTCAAGGCCAATGACTTCCAATAATTTTTAAGCCTTTATCACCTGGTACATCAAGGCCAGGAAGGGAGTCTGTGGGTGCAGATGGATGAAGGAAAGAACTGACCGTGCCTAATGTGAGCAAGAATTCTGTCTGTCTTTCTTCTTCTTTTCTTTTTTTAAAGAACCTGGTGCTTTAAAGCGCTCATTCAACTTTGTTTCATGTTATTTACCTCCTACTACAGCAGTACAGATCTGTTTCTAATTTTATTATTTATACTTTCCTGCCATAACAGCATCTTTCCGAATAGCAGCCCTCCAAACTGTTAACTACTTTGTCTTCATGAGACCCACGTGAAACACAGAAGTATTACTTTTCCATTTTACTGGCGAGACGTAGGAAAGCACAAAAATTAAGCAGCTTGACCAACTATCTCATACGAAGAGTCCAAGACAAGTAATGCCAGCATCAAACAAAGGCTGACCTCAGTCTGAAGCCACAGAAATCAGAAAGCTTGGAAACAGGACACATACTCCATGGAGTGCAAGTCTTTTAAGTGACTCTTCCATTCTCCCCTCAGATAAGAATACAAGGGGGTGTCTTTATTTTATTTACTGTCAAGATAAAGACAAAACCGTAACTTTCTGTAACTGTGAAATCGAGAAATGCATTTTACGGTGGCTTTCTTATTGCAAACACATATGTTGCTGTACTGCTGTAGCATGACTTAATGACTTGGAAGAGAATCGCTTTGGCTAAAGGCTATCCAGAGTTCATTCTGGTTTCAAGCAAATAGCTTTGAGACTGCATTTGTCAGACACAGGAGTTCTGGAAGATCGAATGCAGCGTGGATCCAGCACACGGTTTTCTCTTTTATTTCTATTCACCTCCAACAGAAGACAAGCTAAAGCACAGAGGCAGTTATTACAACTGCATGCAACCCATACATGGACATTTCACTGACACCACTGAATTAAGCGCAGAAGAATGGTAGTATCAAATAATCAAATGACCTAGTCATTATAATTAGACTGGGGTAGGGGGGCTCTTTTTCTGCCTCTTTACAAGGTACAGTTTCTGGAATGATGAAATTGGCCTCTCTGGAAAGGTTGTGACCTTCCATAAAGGACAAGAGCCAAATAAATACAGAAGAAAAATGTCATTTAGGACTCAGCAAAAGCAGAACTGCTGATTAAATCTTTTTAAAGAAGTGTCTGTTCTCAATCCAAATTTTAGAGGTCACTGTATCTTGTTATTGCTACACTAAGTGCTTACTAGTGCAAATTTTTTTCAAAAAAGTCTGTATGGAATAAACTGAACTACAGGTGTGCAGCACAGCCAGCAGTCTAAAAGACTATGTCACATATCATGCTGGTGCTTCGAACGTGTATGATGGCATTTTTCACACAGAAAAACCCAACCAACCAACCAACAAAACCCACACATTTCAAGAGAGGTAAAATAAAATAGGTAAGCAACAAGACCAGTAGTTCTCATATACAAAGTTCTCATCTTTTAAAAATAAAGTGAGTTTTGAAAAGTCTTCTAGATTTTTGCCAAGGCTATAACCCACGTTTTCCAGGAGGGCTATGAGAATTGCAAACACTCGCTATGAATAGCACCCTGTCATCGTGGATCACAACCGGGCTGACCAGAGCACAGGTAAAAGTGCCAGGAAATGGCATGAAGACTACACTAAGCTTAACAAAAGATTCTTGCGTTATTTTGAAGGTTTACCACATCACAAAGTTTAAAAAAACACACAAACCCAACCCAACCACAGCAGTGTTTGCCTTCAAAGACATACACATGTTTTATACCAGACACTTTAACAGCCTGAAAACATGGTCTCATCAAGTGACTGCCTGCTCGTGTTAATCTCTTATATTTCAAACAGAATATATTATTTTAACAGCTATAATAAAAACTCGGACACCATTTTTCAAGCACGACAGTTGAGATTGCATCAAGTGTATCTTCCTCAAGTGGGTAGCAACCACATTAGAGCAAAAAGCACAGGGGTAAGCCAGCTGATATTTTTCCACTGATGCTCATCCTATTAACTCGGTTGTGTCCACTATCACTTTCACTGCCTCTTACATTTAACGGACTCTTTCTCTCCACGTTATCTTTTATCATGAAATCTGCTCACTCTCTCCCGTGGTGCAAAGGAAGAGAAGCCCTTGCTGTTGGTTGGTTGTTTTTTATCTGCACTCCATCGCAGCTTTCTCCTCTTGGATTTTCCAATCCCCATTATATTTTGTTGGTCGCTTGCAATGTTCTTCACTGCCTTACAATGTGGAAAACAACTTGTAATAAAAGCAGTCGGTACCTTGACTAATCTCTTTTTCGGCACAGATAAAGGGAAGGATAAGCAGTTCCCCCATAGCTTCAATCAAAATGGAAACAGTAAAGTGCAACCGCTTTGGAAATTTCTTTGACCAAACTCCATCCTTCACGACAAGCATTTCTAGTTATTAAAAGTAACAGTAGTAATGACATCTAAATCTCCCCATAATCCTCCACATTAGATATTGGGCAGATCAATCAATCAACTGAGATTAATCTTTGTTTCTGTATTAAGAATCAGTGAGTTCTAAAAAGATAGCTAGGAAATAAAACAGGTCCAAATAAACCAGACAAATCTAGAACACAGTGTTTCAAACTGTTAATGAGCTGTGAAAGACAACAAAAATTACCAAGAAAATTCCAAGAATGTAACAAATGTAAGAAAATTTAGAGCAAAAGGCCAACAAAGTAGAGAAAAATAGGAACTTAGGTTCTTCTAAGTTTTGAAAACAGTATCTTTTAACCCTACTGCAGGTGTGTAAGCTTTAAACTGAAGAGCAGGTGAACTACAATTAGTTTCATTTATACACAGAATTTCGAGGAGGAAGGAAGGCCTTGTTCACATCAAAAAATTACTTACCTTTAACACACTCTATCACTTTGGGTCTTTGAAGTTTAGGTTTGGGAGAGGGAGAGTTGAATCTCAGATATGGTGCTTTTTTAAGCGTGCTACGATGGCCCTGGTAAATCGGTTTCCCATAAACCTGGGACAGACAGTCTTCACTTCGTACCACTGCTCCTCCATTCACAGGTCCCTGACACAAACAATAAAAAAAGTTGTGTACAATTCTTCACGTATGAAAATTTGAGCACATAAATTGTGTTCAGAGGAAAAATGTAAGTTCTACAACTAACAGTATACATTGCAAGCACGCATGAAAACTTCTGTGTACAGAACAGATGCGAGAAGCTTCCTAACAGCTGGGGACAACAGCAGGTACTGGATAAGACAAATTCATAACGTGACAGTGAAGTCTGCATTGTTATACACAGCTTAAGCTTCCACAGCACACAAAAACAAGGACAATTCTGACAACAGGACCCACAATTCTGACCCACAGGACAGGGCTATTATTAAAATTATCAGTTACACACACATTTTTTCACATGAATACTGCAAACTAAAGCGAAGCAGTCGTTACCAAAAAAATAAACCAATGACTTAAGAACTCACATCTGCCCTTTTTTCTTTCCTCTGCAAACTTCCAGGAGAAAAATAAGTTCTAAGTCTCTCTTTGCTCGTGTTATCTTCTGCTTGCTTCTGCAATGGCTTAGCTTTAGACAAAGGCTTCTTTGTGGAGGATGCTTGGATTTTTTGAGTTTTTGCTTTAATTTCTTTATTGGTCTTCATAGCCTTGATGTTTTGGGCTCTCTTGATCCATGGGACCTTTTGATCATATTTCACTTGTTCCAAATCATTTCTTGCCATTTCAGCCTAAAGATAAAACATAAACATAATAAAAGGAGATTTTATCTTCAAGGCTATCAGAAGAGGCTGTGGATAACTTTGAAGTTCTAAGAAATGGCCTGGTTTACATATTCGCCAGCAACTGCGACCAGTGATTTTCATTAAGAAATAGAAGTTTTAAAAAAACAAGTAAATACTTTATTACAGCACACTACATGCTAGTATAAATAAGCAGTTTTCTCACGTTTTCACGTCATGAGTCAATCAAGTCAAACTACTGACATGAAAGGACAACAAAGAGGGGAGAAATGAAATGCAAAAACCTGAAATAACTTTTTCCAGCCATACCTGGATTTCTACACTGATTGCCCTAATCCACTCATCCACAGTCTTTCTGATACGAATCTCTTCCAGTGCATCTCTGAAATAAAAGAAAGAACCATTTTAGGTCAGTGCTTCTTAAATTGCACAGATTTGTTCCTAAATACTACATGAAGAGAAACCCAGAGCACAGAGACAGTAGCATTATGTACCTCCACAGTTTCCAAAAAGCACTAAGCATACCCTAGCCGAGTTTCCCAAATCGAAATTTGTTCTTATGCAATGTCACCAGCAAACCCCACCCCATCTCCCCCGGTCTGTACTAACATTATTATAAACATCGACGAATAAGTGGCAGCCATGCGTCAGTTGCTATTTGGATCAAAAACTGAAAAAACAAGGCAGCAAAAATATTCCAACTCAAAAGACAAAAAGCAGATAAAAGATCATGACAGCAGATACCATGTCTGAAAAAAATCTTTACCTTAAGAGAATAGTTACCTTCCAAGATTAAGCTGTCTTTTAAAAGGAAAACTTTCATTACTATTCAAGCAGGAATATTGAACACAACTAACAAAGCAAAAGTTCAAAAGCCAGAGATCTGCTATAGGATGATTAATTCTGTAACGTTTACAGACTTATGAATCTTCTTCTGTTCGGAATTATGAAATTACTGCTTAATTTCCCTTTTATAGGCAATCTTGCATCATTAAGCTAAATGCCCCCTTGTCACAACAGCAGAGCCGTCTGTCCAGATAAAACCACCTCAGAATTTAGATTTAATTTCTGGAGCATAGATAACACCAAGAAGCATCAGGTACCTGTGAAAAAATTCAATTCACATCAGGAGGGTCAAAAAACATTTGAAGTTCAAGAGAATCATCCCACGATTGCTAAGAAGAGTCAATAAATACTTCCTGCTGGGAATCGTGCAAGTTCTTCAATGCACAGAATTGAAAAAAATGAAAGAGAGGTGATAAAAGGTGAGTGCATACAAAGAGCAGTCACAGAAAGCGTTGAATAATAGGGTCTAACCTGTTTGTCATCAAGGCATTAATGAAAGTATACATGGCATCCCCATCCTTTGCGCGAATAACAGCTTCCAAATTGTCTTCAAGCACTTTTTTACTCTGTTGAACTCTTCTCAAGATTCTTTCAGCATCCCTCAGTATAGATTTGGGCACTTTAACATTTTGAAGAATGGACGATTTCTTGAGCTGCTGATGTATTTGAAGATCAGGTGCAGCAGTAGGGTTTTGTGACTAAAATTGAAACAGAACCACTAGCTTTTAATTAGAGATTGTGATTTCTATTTTCTAGACACTGGTCAAAATTCCTACTGGTCTATTATCAAATCAAGGCCCAGCATATGAAATATGGTCCACATATGAAATACCGACCACATGTACCACCGTCAACTTCAGTAACTCAAGAACATTCAGTATGTTCCAAATAGATTTAAAAGTCAAGCAAATGGAAAGACATCCATGTAGCATCTCAAATGCTAAACGATGCCATGTATGAGGAGCAACGTTAATGAAGCAAGTAAGTGTGTGAAAAATGGCGATTAGATACGTGAAGTAGGTATCACGTGCAAATCTCTCCATGTCACAGCATTTAAGTATAATTAAATACATAATAAAAAGTCCTCCGATGCATTCATTTGGCATCAATCTGTCCCAGAAAACAGCAAGCAATAGACTTCAATTTGAACGACAATAAAATAAACCCCTCAGACAACACCATGATCATCTCCCCCTTATGCAGATTTTTGCTTTTCATAAGAAACAGTGAAGCAACTATTAGCCTTTTATTTTGCAGAGACAAAGACTGAGCATATATCAGCTACTAAATACAAATGGCAGGGACACAAGTACGTAGGAAACAAGGAGCTGTACAACTGTAGCCCTCGCATTCATTTCCACACTCCTGATGAAACCCAGAGGTCTCCAAGCAGAGTGCTTCATTTTCCAGAAAGGAAGTGAAAAAAACCCATTTAAAAAGTGATAAATGTACATAAGAAAAAAGAAACACCCCCTCCCACCAAAAAAAACACCCAAACAAAACCAAACCCCATAAAAACTCAAGGTATACCTTAAGAAGATTATTCATGTCTGATTTCCATGAATTTGCTTCCTAAAAAGACAGAAGAAGAGCTGTTGAAACTTATCTAAAGACAAATCTGTCAAAGTAAAATCTGGAGTAGATATTTCATCAATTTAAATGGGCACAACGAATTCCCTGTGACCCAGTGAATCTCACTGCATGATTCTTCTGGATTAGAGCACCACCTTCTGTTCCATCTCAATCTATCCCAGTTAATTCAGGCTTTTCTTTCCTTCTAAGACAAAGCCAGCAGTCACCTACCCCAAGCATTTATTTTCTCACTCCACAAATCTGCCAATGATGAGAAGTCAGTAGCTAAGTATCTAATTGACTCAACTCCACATTTGCTGAAGTCATCATCTCTGTCTTCCTATTGACTTTTTTCATACGAAAGGAGACTTGAAACCACTTATGTCAAGTGTGTCTTTCTCATCTGTCATTCCTTCTCCCATCTCTTCCTGTTCTGTGGCCTATACTAAGGGATGTTACTTGACTAGTTATTAGCAATATTGGTAAGCAAATACCTGCAACATAAATGGGACACACGGCATCTGCTCTTACTAGTAAGAAGTTAAAGGTGCAATTCACTAACATGTCACAAAATCTATAAAACAATACATCAGCTATACTATATATGGAACCAGGTTAACAAACAGGTGAAAGCCTCAACTGTAAGGAGCTAGAGACAAGCTTTGCGCACCAAAGGTACAAAATCATAAGCACAAGAAGCAATACAACAATGTATGCCAGGCAATTCCTTGGAAACAGTGCTCTTTATAAAAAGAAGTGGCAAAACGAGGGAGAAAGTAGCTTAAGTCGTCCCTAAAGCTGACTGCAGACAAATACAGTGTTCCTTCCCAAATGGGAATGGTCCATCTGCTCTGTAGCTCTCGTGTCACAGGAGGACAGCCATCAGAAAACAGGTACTGAAAATATCCACAACCATAAAACAAATTGAAAAAATAAATAAACCACTTTTTGTTCTCCTTTCTCTCTCTTTTTTTTAACCGGGTTGATGTTGGGTAAAAAGGCAGTAAAAGCCTGTACAGTCCACTCCGTTGCATATTCCTTGAGACATTGTTACTCAGGCCCACGTACAAAGACCACAATATTTCAAGTAATTGTAAACAAATGTCAGTCTTTTTACAGAGGTAGAAGCAAGGACAACACTTCTGCTGATACCAGACCTCTAAGTTTTTCTCCATGTTTTTTATTCCCTGTGTTCAAGCTCCTGGTTATTCTGATAACGTGGACTTTACCTGTAGCATGTCGTGCATTTCTCTTCTCAACTGGCCAAGGTCTTGAAGTAAATCATCTGCTTTTTTCACGGTTTTCTCAATTGAACTGCAATTTTGGGAGGAGTTTTCAAAAGCAGGAAATGAATCTGTATGCAAAGCAGTATGCCTGATGGGAGAAACACCTTTGATTAAGCCTCACGGCTTCTCATTTGGCCCAAGAAAGAAGCCAGCTGTGAAACTAAGCATCAGTTTAAAGTGCAAGAATACCAAAGCTTTATATAAAATGGAATTTGCTTTTTCACCTGAGGTTACAGACAGGTTATTGGGTTTTCTCTGTTTACCACTTAACACCTTGAGCCATATCCTTGTATTTTATACAGTGAAACTACATCTAAAATTCAGATCTAACAGAGCAACATTTAAACTTCAGATAGATTTGAAGCAGCTAACATTTTAGTCCATACTTTTATAAATAAACACAACAGTATACATGTGGCTGCTTCTCATTATATTAGTGAAATTACAACATCAAATTATTGCCTGGGGAAAATATGTTTCAGACTGGATGGCTAAGAATATTTCCTCACCCACTAGAAAGCTTAGACATTGTTAGGCAGATGCTGCTCCTTCCCAACAAGGTTTTCTCACACAGCTCCCACAGGCAGGCAGCTTGGAGTCTCACTGACAATGGCAATTCCACTTCAACACAATGCCTGCAGAGTTGACTTCCTGACACTACTCCACAAGCTGCTGCAACAGGAATACTCAGAAGACAGAAAAGCACTCCAAGTGACACCCATTGACCTCTGAGAAAGATGTAACACCATCCTTAGCAACAAGCTTTCATCTACCGTCAGTAGAAATGACGCAGCAGCATAGAAATACCAGTGCTCCAGGGTTTTACTTCAAGCACAGCTTTGTCAGGCTCAAGGACAATGCCAGGGACTCCATTACACCATCGATACCTAATACACCTTTCTCAATTTCACTAAAACAAACAAAAAGTCTTCCTCAGGTTTGGACCGTTACATTTATTTACCTGTGCCTCTCAGAATCCCAGCTCGTTTTATTACTGCTTAATGCTGTCTCCTTGGAAGGCTCGATTTGCCTCAGTGGCATTTCCTGAGAATTCAGAATATGCTCAAGTAGTTTCCCTTCACCTAAGGCATAAAAGAGAAAGTTGAGTTTGTTTAATATTTTATTTTCCTTTCTAGATATTTCACCATTACACAATAGTCACCAAGGATAGTAAAAATAATTTTTATATTTTAAAATATAAGTTTACTTCAGATAAGACAAGTTCCATAAAACCATTCACGTTAATCTATCTCACTATGATTGTTTTACATCAGCAAAGTCAGAAAATGAATGAAAGAAACCGTGACAGCAATTAACTGAGGCACAGAGAAACATTCTGTCCATAATGTCACAGATTTGGTCTTCCTTTGTCTTGTTTCACTTATTCCCAGACCCAGGGAACAATATGAATACGTGACAGCTTTGTAACAAAAAAAAATAAACAGGTAGAAGCAGCAGTCTGAGAAGGATCAGATGGAGGCATTTTGGTCATGTTTGAGTACAACAGCCGGATCTTTTAAATGTTCTTCCTCAGTCTTAGATCCTCAAACAATTCTAAACGCAATCAAGTAAAAAAAGATGCTTTATTTTATGATGAAATGTTCAAAACTGAGTTTCACGCCACTAAACTAATCAAAAGCATTAAAGGAAAATGAGTTCCTTGGCTTTACACACACACTCTTCATTACGATGGCCCAGAGACCACACGAATGCACGTTTCTGTGAAAACAAGTAAAAATTACAGCCAACGATAATGACAAAGTCACTGAGTGGATCCCAAGTTTTTCTTCATTCTATATCATCTTCCTTAAACTTGACAATGAAAAGTCACTCCATTTCTCATCTGAGGAAACATTTCAGGGAGCAGTCATGTTGAGACCGTTAGATCAGTGCTGTCACTACGTTCTTAATGAGTTAAGAGTAAGCGACTTATTCACAAAACTAACCCTTCCCAAACGTACTTTCAAATGTTCTGAACTCACGTAGTTAAGTGCTAGCAACCCAACAGCTCAGAAGAGGTGAGGACCACCCAAAGTAATCCCCACGCCATGCTATTCGCGCCAGTGGAGGACCAGAGTGTCTTACTCACAATACCTTCACTTGTGGATTTGGAAGTATTTTCCTTTTCTGTTACAGGGTTTTCTTTCCTTGAGATTTTCACATTTTTTGATACAGGTTCTGGAGCACATCTGCGAGGAACTGGTGTGTTTAAAGGGGATTTTTGTGTACGAATCCCATGACTTTGAAACTGGCTTGAATATGCTTCGGGAGAAAAAAAAAAGTTGAGTTACTTAACTGCTAACAGTTTTCTTCATAGGAAAAGAAATCCAGAAAAAAGAAAACATTCCAACATTACGAGTTTTTCACATAAACGCAAAACATTACAGAACTAGTTAAAAAAGTAAACAGGAAGAATATTTCATACTTCCAAGTGCTGTTACAAAGGGATCAAAAAAAACCCCAACCGTACTATGTACCAGTTCCTCACAAGCTTCCACACAGATTATTTCTCGGTAAGATCAATTTAGGTTAAACCTAGGCCTCTCTTGCAGCAGACTAACTTACCAAGCACTTAGTAAATACAGAACTCTCACTTTAAACCGCAACATTTTCAGAATATGTGGTATACCTTATAGAGCATAGTAGACAATAAAACCAATTATCCAGAAGAAATGTTTGCTACTCAGTACTGATCTGACGTATAATTCAGTATTAATGGCAACAAAATTAATTCAAAACTAATGCTGAAAATACAATACTAAGAATTTGTCTTCACCTTGGGCGGGTGCACCACTGGTGGGAAATAAACCCCTCTGACGTGAAGACACTTCTTTAGTGAGCAGTCGCTGTTCAGGCTCGTCGGGTGGCTTTGTCAGGAGACTGGAGGAAGGTGTCCGAATTTGCTGTAAGCCACGCGCATTGACAGCAGAGCTGATGAGATGAGACTAAAAGACAAAGTTACAAAGCATTTCTGATAAATGCATTCGTTTCCCTGAGTAAAACTCCAAGCATGAATATTTGCCATGAAATATTACACACATTTTGGCATGTTATTTGAGAGTAAAGTAATTTACAGCAACCTCGGAATACAGCCATGCGTGGACATTGTTCTGCCTTTCAAAGAGCTTGCAGGACTCTCCAAAGAAACTACTCATAACTGTTCTTCGATTTTCGATCTGACTGGCTACTTATTAAATGAAGGTTTCCACAATTAACAAAGGCCTAAGCAATTTCTTAGTGGGAACAAGAACATTTCAGTTTTTTGCATTTGCTTTCCACAGACAAGAATTAGTAGGGGATGGGGAGCAGGTATCTAGGACAGAACCAGAAATAAAACTTTTCCCAAAAAAGCTCTAAGCCCATGTGCTGGCCCCTGGATCTTTCCTTTTTTCTACTACTAAGATATAATCCAAATTATTATAACATTTACACTGAGATACAGAAGAAATTATTAAGCTAAAGCTTCTGCATTGTTACTTAGATACCTGAATATTCATTTGTTGCTCCTGTAACTTTTCCAAATGCTGAATCCGTTGCACCATGAAAGCATTCATCTGTTTTTCAAGCTCACTGACTCTTTCATGACAATGGGGTTTCTCCTGCTGACTCTTTGTATTTGTTTGCTGTTCAGCAACACGCTGCAGCTGTCTGTCTGTCTCCTGTAGTTTATGAAGCAATGCTGAAACTGAGTTTACTTTCGCTTCCAAATCGTTTTGAACCTGCAAGAGGGGGAAAAAATGGCATTACTACATCCCTCTCATCATAATGGAATGATCTGCTTCCCAAAAGACAAATAAAACCTTAATGTTTGGTTGTTTAGCAAAACTATGACATTCTTCTAAAAGATAAATCAAATGTTCTCTGTCCATTCACTTGCCCATTTAGCCAAATCCAAGTCAGTTCTCTCTGGTCCATTGGTCAGTAAGTGTGAGATTACTTACACACACTAAACAGCAGGCAGACACATTCAGTCTCTCTGGCTCTACCAACAATTTCAACATCTACCATTCCAAGTGGACAAAGAACTGAAACAAGCCACTTACTTTAAGAAGTGGAGCTGTCGTAGCTATGGCAGCAGCAGTCGCTGCTGCGATGGTTGTTGCAGAATCAACTTCCCTGTGTGTTGACCTGGTGTCTTGACCAACACTTCCCTTCTTTTCTGTGGGGGCATTTCCTAAGAGCTGTACCTTCACCTCCTTACGTACAGGAGTATTTTGAGTCCTATAAAAACAAACAAGTGCCTGTCAGTAGCACCATTTTCTCCACATCCCCTCCAAGCACATGATTTCCCACATGTAGCACTGATATGACAACTCAAATCACCATTTCTTCTTGAAGCTCTTGAGACCTGAGAAACAAATTTATTCTCGTATTTTAGCATGACACGAGAAATTTCTCAGGATTATGTTACAGATACTGTAAGAAAACATTCTAATAACAACACACACTTACTTCTGCTTTAATGCCGCTCTCAAAGCCTCTTTCTGGCCAGTAGCATATTGAGAAATAAAAACATCATCTGTGGGGAAGCACATCAAGTACACTTTGTTAACTGACACGAAATGTCTCTTCCAGAGTTAGACAGAAAGCAGTATTTCAACCACATGTACAATTTTGCTGTGAAGAATCCGTTGCCTGCACAAACCACATTATCTACTGTGATAAGAAATGGTTTCCCTTCACTAAGGAGCAGACGCAGATTACGATGAGAGTAAGAGTAGGCTTCATTTAACACAATTTTATATAGCACTGATTGTTGGTATCCGTAAAACCTGTTTTGGTATGCTGTAAAAATGACAATACCTTACATTCATAAAATTCAAGGAAAGATGCCATATAAATGGTAACTTGAGCTCAGACAACCTAATCAATAAAACCTTGCAAATTCTAACTTGAAAAAAATAATTAAAAAAAAAGCCTGTGACATTATTACTTCCCTGCAGTCATCACATATTACAACAACTTTTTTTAATAGCTTTAAATGATGCTAAAACGATTACAGTCTCTCCTTCATCCACTGTTTGCTGGGCAGAGGCAACAACGCAAGATGTGGCAGGTTCAGTGTTTCTCTACTGCTAAAACACACATGTTGATAAGCCAGCTACCTGCTGCCTCTGAGCACAAAAGAGGAAACTAAAGCACTGATTTTTGGCCTTAAATGGAGGATATTGTTTTCTGTTTCTTTCCTCCGTGCAGCCACAGGTATCCAAGAAACCTGCAGTGTATTTTCCTTAAAAAGTCCTGACTCCCCCAAATGTGACTGAAAGAAACTGGCCAGCAGATTCAGAAGTTAAAGGAAAAGACATTGCCAATGTGATTTCTTAGATCCTTCAAGATTAAAAATACACTCTTTATGGTGTAAGTTGCTTCCAGAAAAAAACACATTTCTAGTACAATTACACATAATGGGAAAAAGTATCCAAATAAGGACCGAGCCTCAGAATTCTCTATTCAGAGTCACGGAGAGTTCAACCAGCAAAAGGAACCTCAGCATTGTGGTGCACTGGTAGAAGTCCCTCTCAGTTAATCACAAGAGCTACATAAGCCAGTGTAATGTCAGCAAGACTGAAGTAAAAGTCACTATAACAAAGATGTTGAGATTCTGGAGCGTGTTCAGAGAAGAGCCACAAGGATGGGGAGGGCTCTGGAGAACAAGCCTGATGAGGAGCGGCTGAGGGAACTGGGCTTGTTTAGCCTGGAGAAGAGAAGGCTGAGGGGAGACCTCATCACCACCTACAACTGCCTCAAGGGAGCTTGGAGAGAGGTGGGTGCTGGGCTCTTCTCCCAGGTGATGGGGGATAGAACAAGGGGAAACGACACCAAGCTGTGCCAAGGGAGGTTCAGGTTAGAGATAAGGAGGAAGTTCTGTACTGAGAGGGTCGTCAGAAGCTGGAACAGGCTGCCCAGGGAGGTGGTGGAGTCACCATCCCTGGATGTGTTTAAAGAGCGGGTAGATGAGGTACTTAGGGATATGGTTTAGGGGGTAGACAGGAGCGGTTGGACGTGATGATCTCAGAGGGCTTTTCCAACCGAGCCATTCTGTGATTCTGTGATTCTGTGAAAATCCGCAAAATTTAAGAACATAAATCACAAGTGTCATCTTTTTATCAAGTAAACCTTTGAATATTTTCACTGAAAAGTTTCTGTTGAACAAAAATACCTAAGATAAAATTAAAACTCCCTGTTCCTCTAATTAATCAGTTTTGTTACAAAAACAAGGGCTGCAGCAGTACATCAGTGTGTCTCACCTTGAGGTCTTCTGCTGTCTTCCAGCAGCAGTGAGGGATCTTCTTGTGCTGCAGCTTCTCTAGGATAACCCTTCAGAGCAAGAAGAGAAGGAAAGCACACATGAAAGCCTCTGGTATCAGTAGCTACAGTTCCAGGAGTCTAGTTTGAGCCATGCAGAGACAATTGCTGCAATCCTTTCACAGCACAGGTTAATTTTATACTCGTGCATACTCATCACAGCATGGATGCCCCAGAGACAAGTCTCCACTGCATGTCAGACACAACAAGCAAATCACAAGGAAATAAACCTTTTAATTGTGAGTATTAAAGAGTTCCATGCAAACTGATGCCCATTTCATTATCTACGACATGAAGAGGAAAAAGCAAAACCTACAAAAGTTCTAGGTTTTCCTAGCGAGTTTTGAGCCATGCGTGACCATCTTTTCAAAAGCAGAATCACACTACAACTTGAAAGCATAGCTTGGTATTTACCATACAACAGGTAAACAAAGCCCCTCCAAACACTGCAGCATTAATCCCACACCAGCAGTAACTCAAAGAGGAAAGCAGCTGCACAGGGACTGTACAGAAGCTGAGCTAAAGATCTGCTGTGCTTTCACAGAAGCTACAACTTTTTGAGAAAAACGCTGTTATCGTAGTCTGGGATTGCAGCAACAGAAACTTTTCTTACCGTTTGTGACAAAAACAGGGGCTCTGTAGAATTTTCAACTGAAAGCAGATGTTCTGGATATCCTTTAGTACTCGAGACTCCTAAAGTAAAAGTAGTTTTACTGTGATCATGATGATTTTTTAATGCATTTTCAGTATAGTTTGACTAACATAAATCGCAATCTTTCCTCTGCCTGGATCTTTTAATAGCTAATACAATGACTTGTAACACAAATAACCACAGCCACCAAGCCGAAGCCTACAAACGTAAATTAATTCTATGAGCCTGGATTATAGACTTGTTTGAAAAACACACCTGAAAAAATCAACAATGCGTTGTTCAAATTCAAACCTAAAGACCATAGGGATCTCGAAATTTACTTGTCTGGAGAGAAAACGATAACTGTATGATAACACATCTGACAGGAGGACACTGAGGACAGCACCCATCTTAGTTATGTCAGAGACTGATCCGTCTTCCTAACACTCTAAAAATAACGATTTTATAGACTCTTTGAACCTTGACCCCCAAAAGACTAAAACCCACTCCCCGAACTCCAAAGACTGAAACTGAGATGTATTTTAAAGAAAAAAATTAATATTCCTTCTGAGTAAAGACGCAGCGCACACTGTGATAGCTTTGAATGTGAAGAGTCCGTGGTACATCACTACAGTCCCATTCTACTAAAAGACTTAAAATTATTTCCTTACTACTACTGAAAATAGGTTTTTAAAAAAAAATTACAAAAAAGGATGCAATTTTTTTCCCATTTTTTCCACTCATCTGTGAGTTTCATCGGGACAGGCAGCCCCAGTAGACGTTGTCTGTGTCAGGGAGGTGGGGTTTAGGAGGAGTAGGGTTTGTTTGTTCGCTTCTCACAACTACAAGGGAAGAAAACCAACTTTAACAATTAAAATTTAAAGTTACGGTAGTTAATAGGGAAACTTGCTCTTTTCCTCAGAGTCTTCTGAACAGTTGTTTAACTGACCAGCTCTAAAACTCATATTGTTCCATAAAACCTGCAAAAATTCTGCAAATAAGAAAGACCAAGAGCTGAATGACTTTCTCAGAAAGCCTACTTCCAAAATTTAATATTTATTACCTTTCCAGTGTCCAATAAACACTTCTTCAAAAAGGCAAGCTTGTGCAGCTACAGCTTGAATATCTACTAGCTCAAGCTCTCCAGAAAAAAAAACACCTTAGAGAAGAGAAGTGTTTAAAAGACTTCTGAGCTCTCTTCCAGTATAAACCCACAAAATAATACACAAAAGTCCATGAAAACACAAAGAAGGCCCAAATTTTGTGACTGCTCAAAGCTGTACGTTGGCAGAGGCAATATTCTGTCAGGCACAGATTTGCAAGCTGACTGTTCTTGGAGCATAAAATGGAAGAGATATTACAGAATCCCAGAACGTTAGGGATTGGAAGGGACCTCCAAAGCTCATCCAGTCCAATCCCCCTGCCGGAGCAGGAACACCCAGATGAGGTTGCACAGGAAGGCGTCCAGGCGGGTTTTGAATGTCTGCAGAGAAGGAGACTCCACAACCTCTCTGGGCAGCCTGGGCCAGGGCTCTGTCACCCTCACTGAGAAGAAGTTTCTTCTCCAATTTAAGTGGAACCTCCTGTGTTCCAGTTTGTGTCCATTACCCCTTGTCCTATCATTGTTTGTCACCCAGAAGAGCCTGGCTCCATCCTCGTGACACTCACCCTTTAAATATTTATAAACATGAATGAGATTTGTATGGTGTCTAAAAAAAATGACCTACAAATTGCATCAAAAACTATGGCAGGCATCCATCTCCTAAATGTTGTTCCTCTTTACGTGCCTGCACACATACTCTATTTCATTCTCTGATGCTGCCTAAAACCTTCTCACATATAATATTTGTGAAATGTCACAATGACAGTCATGATTTTTCGAATAAAAGACGATAATTGCCGAATAATTAAGGACTAGGAGTCTGGAGTGAAGACTGCTAAGGAAGCTCTCACGACCTCAGGCTGCACACCTCGCTTTTCTTGTGCAAAGTCTGGGAAAACAAACAAGCAAACCCAGCTTTTGACAGAGTGCTGATATCTGCAGTACCAGAACAGAAAATAAAAATAAAAATTCCTTAGTTACAAAACTACTACACGTCTGAAAACCACGCGGCGATGTTACCTCAGACCTCAGCCGAACACCCACGGTACATCACGCACCTGGTGCCGCGCTGCTGGGGGTGCCGGGGGTCACCCCCGCCCACGGAGCCCCGTTTGCTACCAAGGCTGGAGGGACGCTGGGAACTCTGTCTCCAGCCCAAGCCTGGCAGGGAGAGCTCCCTTCACGAAGCTTTTTGACAGCGATCATCGCTTTTTTCACAGCGCCAATGGGCCTGTCCCTGTAGATGCCGGTGGAGTGAACGAGCACGTCCCCAGCCGTCAGACTGGCCAAGGAGTCCTGGCTGAGGCTGG